TACTTTGGATTTCTTTAAGTCTATGGTGATAGCTTCTGTCAAATCACATCAAAGCCTCTTAGCAACTTTTTTGGGTTAACTTATATTTTTAGCAACCCACTCACCAAAACCAATGGCAAGTGGGTACTTCAAATTAACTATTGGTCCAACCAATGGCAAGTGGGTACTTCAAATTGACTGTTGGTCCACTTAACGACCTCCATTCTCTATAAATTGAAGGAGAAATCATCAGCAAAGGACATATACAACTCAACCAACAAAAACCAGACTCTACGTCTATAAACCCAGCTCAAAAGCCTGAAACAACATTTCTTTTTCATTTTCTGAATTTCCCAGTTGACAACTCCTGAGGAATTTTCTTTGTCTTGCTCTGCCAACTCTTGGTATGATATTTTCTTGTACAAGATTGAATAGAGAAATCTTCAATCTCCATTTTAATTTTATGTACTATGTCTGAATAGAGAAATCTTCAGGCTTTGTTGTTTATGTACTTCCTTTTTCTTTCAAGTTGTTTGAATAGATAAATATTCCGATAAACTTCTGTCATTTCCATTATCGTTCTATTTCCGCTTCTATCGGTTACAATTTTCGCGCTAGATGAATATTGAAGTCCTCTTAACTGAGGCATAGAAAAGAACCTTGTATTGGGCCAGTTCCCCACCCAATCCACAATCGATTCATTAAAGTCAATATCGGTGCGCATTTTCCAATCTTACCATTTTCAATCTGTTGGAGTTTTTCACTGCCAACAGTGGCACGCCTTCGCAATCGCAACAAACAAACTCCACGGCCAAACCCTAAGTGAATGGCCTGCGGGCTCTTTTCGGGGTAAACAGTTTCAGGCTTCTTTACGAGAAGCTGTGCACACCTGAGGAATCTGCCAGCTAAAAAGTCCTTGTATTGGACTTTTTACTTTTTTCATAAGGACCTTCAGATGAGTCAGTTTTGGTGATTATTTTGATTTATCTGTAGTGAGTGTGAGTCTATTGATCTATGCTTTTCTCTGCAGATTCTTCTTGAGGTGCAAGTTGCCTTAAGCAGCTCAACATCAGCAGATACATATGATAAATGTTATCTTTATAAATAGTTCCAATGAAAAAAGTAGGGTAGGATTGCAGCTTGTTTTATGAATAGTTCCATATGACGTTATTAATATGCATCAAGAAGGGAACTCTTCTTTTCTTTTTTTAACACATTATACAGAAGGTCAATCCCACAAAAAATGTCACGCAGGTAAAGGCTCATTACCTAACTGATGATGGTTTGAGATCAATCCACTCCATAAGAACTTAATAATACAAATCAACAAGAGAAATCCTTCTTCTCTTTCATGGTGTCATTTCAGGGAGTTTTCAATATCAATCACAAACTGGTATTTCACATCATTTTTTTAAGTATAGTCTCTCAATAGCTTCATTTGCATATTGAATTGAAGCTACTTCAATCTGTTGAGGCCCAAAAAATCCAAGGCTGGGCCCAAATATATTTCTAGCCCATACGACACCTAACTTGGGAAGAAACCCAACTTGGGTACGCAGGAGCTCGTCATATACGCTTGCACACGTGTCATGTCAAGCAAATAAGTAACACGCCACGCTACAAGCTTAAGTGGGCCCAAGTCACGCGAATGCCTGGGGCTTGCTAAGCGGGTTGTGGTATGGATGGTTACGAGTTTTCATGAGATCCATTGATGAGCAAAGAAATGGAAGTTTTGAGCTGCTTTGGAGCCCTGAAACTTAAGCCCATTTTTTGAGTCCAAATATGTTGGTAAGCATAAAAGAGAGAAAATATACCATTACCTTAGAAAAGATATCTCATTACCTTAGAAAAGATAGCCTATTATATGGGTTTTTTTCTTCCAGCAACTATAAATGGGCTGGGCTGCCGTAAGGAGCGAATTGATGAAATTATCTCATATGTCTGAGTTCAAAGATCAAGCCCCAAGAATGCTTAGAAAGGATAGTGAAGCCTTAGGAAATACATTGGTTACCTTCCCCAACAAAAATAACAATAGCTTAAAATTCTTTGCTTGGCATGAGAAGCTTATGGCATAGGAGTTGAGCATTCATAAGTTTAGCATGAGAGAGAGAGAAATGGCTGCGATTTCCTATGAGAAACAGAGTTTTTAAGGCATGGGGGAAGGGATTTTAAGAGGATTCGTTAAGGAGAGAAAGGGGGAGAGAGATGAGGTCAATGGGTGGCTTAAGTGATTTTCCGGCAGCTTGACAAAGGTACTGTCAAGTGCTAGAACAGTCTGCCATGAGAGAAAAATAAGGGGATAAGGATGAACAGAGCACGAATTTGCTCAGTTTTGAAAATGATATGGGAAGCTTGCTATTTGGATGTGGTTGTGGCTAGTGGTGAAGTATTGGGTGTTTTGGATAATTTTCCAGCAGCTTGACAAAAGCTATGTCAGACTCTGGCATGGCTTGCCATAAGAGAAAATGGGAGGAGATGAATGAATAGGGCACGAAATTTCAGAGTTTCAGAGATGAGAGATGAAGCTTGCTCTTTAGATGTGTGTGTTGATATGATGGGTAGGAAATGCCTCTTTTTATAGGCGCTGGAATCTATCATTTTCCAAGAAACCCTAATAGTTTCTATCCAATTTGGCCAAGCTTTTTCCTTCATTTCTCCTCTCTTCCCTTGACTTATCCTATCTTGGTGAAATTCCCTCTACCTAATTGTACAAAAACAAGGATTTTTGGGAGCTCAATGCTCTTCCCGTAGCTGCCTTAGTGGAGAACTCCCATTTTCAGCTATCTTTCTTCCTTCTTTTCTCCCCTCATCTATGGCTAGATCTGATGAGGGGAAAGAAATGAGTATGTACACTAGTTTGAAGGGTGTTTTGCTCAAGTATCCCTTGGTCTTTTGGATGTTTTTGCTTGAAACTTGTTCCCCCTATGTGCTGGAGATTCCAGCAGCCTGCAAATGTGAGTGGCTTTTGGCTTTTGTCATAGTTTTGTCTCCAGCCATGTGCTGAATACTTTCAGATATTTTGTTGGTCACTTAGGCCATTCTTTAAGGTAATGGGCTAGTTCATTAAAGGGATGGACCAACTTCCCAAAGTGATGGGCTATCTTTTCTAAGGTAATGGGCTATTTTCTCTCCTTTATGCTTACCCACATATTTGGGCTCAAGAAATGAGCTTGAGTTTCGGGGCTCCCAAGCACCCAAAACTTCCATTTCTCGGCTCATCAATGGGCCTCATGAAAACTCGTAACTATCCACACCACAACCCGCTCAGCAAGCCCCAGGCATTCGCGCTTGGGCCCACTTAAGCTTGTAGCGTGACATGTTGTTTATTTGTTTTGTGTGCAAGCGCATATGACCAACTCTTCCCAAGTTGGGTTTTTTCTTAATAAGGTGTTGTGCTGGGTTGAGAATTCATTTGGGTTGAACCGTGGATTTTTTGGTCCTCAACACCCATCACTTTGGGAAGTTGGCCCATCCATTTAGTAAACTAGCCCATTACCTTAAATAATGGCCCAAGTGACCAACAAAATATCTGAAAGTCTCCAGCACATGGCTGGAGACAAAACCATGACAAAAGCCAAAAGTCACTCATGTCTGCAGGTTGCTGGGAATCTCTAGCACATGGCCAAAGACAAACTCAACACAAGCCATCAGAAAAACCAAGGGATACTTGAGCAAAACACCCTTCAAACTGGTGTACATACCTATTTCTTTTCCTCTATCAGATCTAACCATAAAATAGGGGAGAAAAGAAGGAAGAAAGATGGTTGAAAATGGGAGTTCTCCACTGAGGCAGCTGCAGGAAGAGTATTGAGCTCCCAAAAATTCTTGATTTTGTGCAAATGGACAGAGATAATTTCACCAAATATGATAAGTCAAAGGAATGGAGGAGAAAGGAAGGAAAAAGTTTGGTCAAATTGGATAAAAACCATTAGGGTTTCTTGGAAAAGAGTAGCTTTCTGCGCCTATAAAAAGAGGCATTTCCTACCCATCATCTCAACCTACATCCAGAGAGCAAGCTTTATCTCTCACCTCTGAAACCTCTGCAATTTCGAGCCCCATCATTCCATCTCTCCTCATTTTCCCTTTTGGTAAACTTTTCCAAAGTTTGATAGAGTTTTCGTCGAGCTGCCGGAAACTACCCAGCACACCCACTACTTCATCACTAGCTAAAACACCTACATCTAGAGAGAAAGCTTTGTCTTTCATCTCTAAAACTCTACAATTTCATACCTTATTCCTCCATCTCCTCCCATTTTCTCTTATGACAAGCCATTTCAGAGTCTAACATAGCTTTTGTCAGGTTGCTGGAAAGTTACCCAAAACACTCAATACTTCATCACTAGCCACACTCACATCCAGAGAGCAAGCTTTCCCTCTCATCTTCAAAACTTAGCAAATTCGTGCTCAATTCATCATCCCCCCCCCCCAATTTTTCTCTCATGGCAGACTGTTCCAGCACTTAATAGCACCTTTGTCGAGCTGTCGGAAAATCACTTAAGCCACCAATTGCCCTCATCTCTCTCCCCCTCTCTCTCCTCAACGAATCCTATTAGAATCCCTTTCCCCATGCCTTAAAAACTTTGTTTCTCATAGGAAATCGCAGCCATTTCTCTTTCTCTCATGCTAAACTCATGAATGCTCAGCTCCCATGCCACAAGCTTCTCATGCCAAGCCAAAAATTTATCTGTAAGCTGTTGTTAGTTTTGTTAGTGAAGGTAACTAAGGTGTTTCCTAAGGCTTCACTATCATTTTGAAGCATTCTTGGAGCTTGATCTTCGAACTCAGACACAGGGGATAATTTCATCAATTCGCTCCTTACGACAGCCTAGCCCATTTATAGCTATCGGAAGAAAAAGGCCCCTACACAATCATTATATGAATTCCATATGTAGCACAGAAATATATCATTTCTTGAATATCCTTTGTTCCACCTATTACGCTACCAGAAATGCTTTTCATGTCGTTATTAAGCTATTTCAATCAAAAGTGTTGCAGATAGGTGAAAAGTTGAACCAGACAACTTCATACAATGCGTACTGGGAAGCATTAATATAAATCTCTATGTATAACATCTACAAATCCTTCAAAGAAGTACATAATATCGTAATCAACTTCATTGAACGTAACGGTGGGTCAACAATGTACTTGTGAAAAGTGATGAAATAAATTTCGAATAAATCTCAGCAGGTCTTCTGGAGTACCAGTGTAGTCTGTCTTCTCTTTGAAGAAATACACTTCCTGCATGTAGTCCGACCAAGATGCTATGGCAGACTTGCTATTCCAATTCTTGTACCGGTCAAAAACCTGTGAGCTGAGCATTTTCAACAAGTTGCTCTCAGGGTCGGCAACCATCAATCGATATAACCTATCTGCGTATTCTAGACGTTTCCTTGGGGTCAAAAGAAAAGGGTGGTGTTTCCTCAGTTTAAAATAGAACTCATTATACCTGAAAAGACAATAAAAATAATCATTATAACAAAATATAACACATTATATTTCACCAAAAATCAACAGATGAATATTTCTCACCCTAACCGATAGGTACTCAAAAACAATTGAGAAATGCATCCTTCTCAGGCCACCGGAAATTCTAAGTCAACAAAGAAAACAAACTCCTAAAAAGCAGCTCCATGTCTACAAAATCCTGCTCTCTACCATATTTGACTTATATCATTACAGGATCCTTCAATGTTTATCAATTTCAAATGACCCGCAACGAACACATAGCTGGATTTCAAGTTCAACGACCCATGGCAGCAACCATAGCGATGGATCTTAGAGACACAGACAATCAACTCCATGTCAATATAACATAAAAATACTTAGGTCAAAACATTAACATAAATTTAAACATCAAACTGTAATATGAGAACCACCTTATTTCCTTCCTCCAGTAACGATATCTCCAAATCATGTTTGTCTTCATCAAATCCTGCTCTCCACCATATTTGACCTGGGCAAACCATTTGGGAAGGGACATTCCCACCCTTTCATAACAAATCGTATTATACACCTTTGAAAAGATGTCTGTTTATCCAGACCACAAACTTTATAAATACAGCTAGTGCAGAACCATGAACCACAAACTTGAATTAAGCTTTGCAGAGTATAGATAATTTTAGCTTTAAATTTTCTCCAATATCACACATCTATATCACACCTCTTATATTAGTATTCAAAACAATTTTTTTTTCCTTTCTCTTTTCGATTATCAGTTGAGGCTTGAGAGTAATAACAATTATACTTTCTTCAAGAGCGTTAAAATCAAGCAATATAATGAGCTTAAGTGGCATCTAAGATTATAAATATGTTAGGTAAAATGTGATGCATGATTAAAAATGCAAATGTGATGCATGATTAAAATGCAAATGTGATGCATTATTAAAATGCAAATGTGAAGGTTAATATGCACATGAAAAACATTCGAGGTGGTTAAGCATGCAAGGTAAATTATGGGCCTGTTTGATAACTATTTCAATTTTAGTTTTTAGTTTTAAATTTTTATGGTAGAGTATAGAGGAAAATGAGAGTGAGAGAGAGGATGAGAGGGAAAAGTAACAAAAGTGAAAACAAAAACTTGAAAGTGAAACAATTTCAAATAGATTTCAATTTTTAGTTTTGTTACTTCTTCCTCCCTCCTCCCCTCTCATCTTCCATCTCAATCTTATCTTCACTCTCATTCTCCCTCTTTTTCCTTTATACTCTAGCACAAAAATAAAAACTAAAAACTAAAATTGAAATGGTTATCAAACGGGTCTTATATTTTCAATTCGAGGTGGTATCCTCCATTGCACCATACCTCACCTTATCAAACCAATTAGCAAGCGACATGTCAATCCTATCATAGCATATTGTAGCAAATCTTTTTAAAGAACTAGTCTTTCCATCAAGATCTCCGCTAATTTTTCAGCTACATATGGTACATGCTAAAATATTTTGGGAATTTTATGTATGTTGTATTATTTTCCATAAGGAAGTTTATTCTTTTCCATAAGGAAGTTTATATAGGAGTAGGTTTACTATCTTTCTTCCAAAATATTATAATAAACGTCCAAACTTCGAATCTACCCTCGCCCGAAGTTCAAAAAACATGTACAATAGTTAAGTCTCCATGCTTAATTAGAACTTATATTATAGTCACTCTCTAATCTACATTCCAACCAACAACCACAATAAAATATCATCTCCCTTCATTGAATACAGAAGTTCAACAACGTGTAAATTCTACATGAAAACTATATATAAACTCAACAATTGATCATTATTTGATCTTCCAGTGAATACCTTATAGTGATGGAGTGATGTGAAGGCCAGTGTTTACTCTATGCTAATGCTGCTTTTTATTGATTTGATTAGGTAATTGTTTATGCAAAGGAAAGCCTTGATTCTTCTTTTCCTCCTGCAATGGATGTCCTTTTAATGGTGAAAAATTTAGTTGTAATGGATATAACATTGTTTTGCTATTCTCAGCCAATAATACTATGTCACATAGAAGTGTTATTACCCCGTTTCATAAAAGTCTCTCCTTTTGAGAGTTCACAAGCGCATTATTGACGGTTTGCATTTGCATGTTGATTCTTCTCACCCTCTCTCTCTTATTTTATATTTCCAACTCCATCTCCTTTCAATTCAGTTTTTGAATTCATTTTCGTATTTTAATCAGAACATTCATGGATCTGTGAGTTGGAAAAGATGTGGCTGATGTGGAGACACGTCAGCAGAAAAAAGAGGCCCCACATCAGCCACACCAGCATTTAGCAGAATGACTAGCGGTTCATTGACGGAGAGGCTTATGTGTAGATTTTCCTTGAGTTTTGGGTATCATTTAGCAAGATTTAAACAATCGGATACTAATTTGAAATGACTCTAAAAGTTTCGGGGGTTTTATGTAGTTAACCCAGAAAAGAAAAGACAATAGATCGTTGAAAAGGACGGTAAGAGACTTCTCTGGCTTTTGTCTCTCCCAGTCTCCAGATCAGTTACCATTACCTCCCAACCCAACAACGTCTTCTACCCACCTACCTTCAACTGCAATCTAGGGTTCCTCACCCCTCTCTCTCTCTCTCTCTCTCACTGTTTTTATTTCCGTACATTCTCTCCTCTGCCCCGCGATCTCTCTCCCTCCATTTCCATTGAACTTGAAGGTTCGTCCAGTTCCTCAATTCCGCTTTCTGATTTTGTAACTTTTGCTTTCAATTTCGTTCGATTGGGGTCGGGATTGAATAGGTTTAGATTTGAATTTGTGATCTCTTTTGTGTTTAATTGATTTTTTACTTAGTTGAATTAATCTGTTGGGTTAGGTCGTGTGAATCGTCATCGTCAATCATGACGATTGCGGATTCGGGTTTCATGATGGAGAACGGAGCAAGCTGCCTACCGCACACACCAGAGGAGGAGAAACGGATCATCGACGAATTGGCCCGCAAATCCGAAGCCAATGTCAAAGAAGGCAACTTGTTCTACGTTGTTTCTAACAGGTCTTTTTCCTTTTTGATTGAATTCACTGCAAAGGTTTTATCTTTGAATGGACTACCATCTTTGTGATGTTCAATACTTTAACAAGTGTTTTGGCATCGTATTTCTTTGGTTGGTTCTGGGAATTCAGCTTCTGGTGGGCTTTACGTGCTTTCTAAGCCAATAATATGCATCTATGCTATGCTTCTGTAGCGGGCAATTGGGTATTCTGAATTAGATTTCTTTTTTGTTTATAACTTGTTAAGAAATCAGTCTCCTTCTGTTTACTGATCGTAGCTTTGTCCTGAAAACTGCCTTTTGTTAAGAGACTGTTGATGGCATTCCTTTTCTTTTATCGCAAACAATGGTTGTTTTCTCATGGGATCATTAATTAGTCTCGTGCTTTTACAATAGTATTTATGTTTGAATACATTTGTTGTGACATTGGTTTGCGTCGCTATGGCCAGTAGCTGGTTTAGTTTGAATAAGGCAAAATTTTCTTTCCGCTCTGTAGAAAAGATTTAGCGTGACCTGCACAAGTAAGAACCTATGCTACTTTGCATGGGTGCGCTACTTTGAAGACTTATTGGCTGTAGTGTTGGGCTACCCGCTGTTGGTGTTTTGCATGTTTGTAACTAGGTTCTACTGTTTGTCCAGGTGGTACTCAAGCTGGAAGAAGTATGTTGAGCAAGGCACTGGTGAACGTCTAAATGATGAGTGGTATTCGGAGTCCCAACAAATGGATCTGCTCTCATCAAAGATTGTAGCTAGACCTGGACCAATCGATAATTCTGATATAGTAGTAAATGAATCTGAGGGCAATGATTTACAGCTTCATAGAACGCTGGTGGAAGAGGGTGACTATGTCTTAGTTTCTCAAGAAGTTTGGGAAAAGCTTTCCGATTGGTAATTAATTATTTCTTTTTTCATAGAACGACTCTCGCTTGTATGATCCTTCTGCTTGTATTTTTTTTTTTTGGTTTAAATGTACACAGCATGTGCTTGATATCCATGTTTGATAGTAAACTGCAATACAAAAAGGATGCATCGATCTTTTCATTTTTCCTCCAATTTTGTTTCAGTTATTTTCTACAAATCTTACAGGTACAAAGGAGGTCCAGCGTTACCAAGAAAGTTGATTTCTCAGGGTGACGTTCACAAGAATTTGATGGTGGAGGTCTACCCGTTGTGCCTTAAGTTTATTGATTCTAGAGACAACAGCCAGACAGTTATAAGTTTAAGCAAAAAGGTACAACAATCATCCCTTTGTTTTTTTTTTCTCCATGCATTTATATCCATGAGAAGTATTTTTTAGATTGTTTTAATTGCTTGTAGAAAGTGATGTTTAAGAGGGGATTGCCATTGAGAGTTGCATTTGCGTTGTTTTTATTCGTCTGAAGGTGTTGCATGGTTCGAAGCAATCTTTATTGTATTTTGTTGATGACCTATCCTTCTCATTCATGAATGTGTCAATCTATCTTGTATTTTTTTTAAATAAATAAAATACTGTTGATGTGGTGCTTCTGCTTCTGGGAGGATTACCTGGAAAGTTTTAAGATGTAGTACTATAAACCTGTTGTGTCATCTCTTTTTGAGCTTTAAGTTCTTTTCATCTAAGCTTTTCTTTCTAACATGTTTCCCCTCTGATTGACTTAGAAGCATTGAGTTTAAGAGTTCAGATGTCTTTGTTTTGATTTTTCTAATGCAAGCATGTAGGTTAATCTTTGGTGTGGTTTTTCTTTTTCCGTTCTTGGACGTATGTAATCTTGTGGCTGGCATAGATGTGATGACTCCGTATGTAGATAATGAAGGTTCTACAAACTTACTCTGTTTCAGGCTTCTGTACAAGAGCTTTACGAGAAGGTGTGCACACTTCGAGGAATCGAGCAACAAAAGGTACATTTATATAGTTAGTTTTCCCCCCTTTCTTTCTTTTGGGCTTAAGTTTTCTACTTTAGTTGCAATGTAGTTATGTTACGTTGTCTTGTTTGACGTTTATAACTTTCAATCACAGGCCCGTATTTGGGACTACTTCAATATGCAGAAGCATGCGTTATTGGATGCTTCAAACCAAACCCTGGAGCAATTGAATTTGCAGATGGATCAAGAAGTGAGTGCTTCTGTGTTATTGATCATTAATTAGAATATTCTTTGGTAGTTGAAATATATGATTGTGCATCTCCAGCTATGATTTTATCTTTTACTTGTAATAATTTATAATTGCCTGCTTGCCAAAAAGTTGTTCTTTTTTTTTTTGGGTAAATACCACAAGGTGTCCCCACACCCGAAGGGAGGGACTAATCCCCGCTCGGGGTT